AAGAATAAGACAAGTTAATATAACCAGGAGCTCCCACACGAGAGAGAAACCAAGGAAATCTCCAGGAGGATAGGGCTGAGAGAGCCACATTCCTAATGAGAGCAGGAGCATAGAGGATACCAGGAGGAAAATCTCTGAACAGAGCATCTTAGGGGAAAATACAGCACTGAGAAATTATTTGACAGTGTTGAAAGAGGCATTTTCAGAGCTGTTGTAGGATATGAGAAGACCTAACCAGCTGTTCCAGGAAAAAAAAATAAGCAACTGAAAAAAATTAAAGCAAATATTAACTTCAGAAAAACAAAAAGTTGTACAAGAAAGACCATGTAATCATGTACACTACTTAGCACAAAAGTGAACGATATTAACATAATCATCATTTAAAAAAGTCATTGAATAGAAATTTAACTAAAATTGTGATAAAACTATATCGGGAAGATGGAGATAGGGAAATGGTCTGTAATGAAGCTAAAATCCTCATTTGCATGATAAAGGCCAATGTATTGTCTAAAGCTCATAGATCAAAGTATACCAGTGTACTTATATTATTTAAAAATGAGTGCCTCTGAGAACTGGGGTGGGATGGGAATGGGGGTTGTAAAGTAGGGAGCTGATTTTTTTCTTATAATGTTTTATGATTCTTGACCTTTTAAATAAAAGAAAGCATTATATTACTAATAACAGAGTGATTTCAACAAATAAGTTGAGGAAAACAAACACTGGTTATTAATCAGAAGAAAAATATTGCTAAAAGCAGTTGCAAGGGAGTGGTCAGGGTAAAAATCCTTAAAAGAGTTAAGGATAACTTACATGGTTAAAAATTTTAAAAGTTTTACTTCTGGTGCCAGTCACTCTTTGAAGTTTTAAGACGAAAACTGAGTATGGCAAATTCCAATCCTGGAAATATTATAGTTTAGTAGAGCATCGGTAAAATACAGGTAAATAAAAAGATAGTTAAGCATGTATGAAAGGTGCTACAAAAGGGACATGTAGAAAGTAGTCTGAAACCACAGAAGAAGGAGAGACCATCCTTGTTTGGGGTGGAGTTGGAGACGGCTTTCTAGAAGAGCTGACCTGAGAAATGGGTGGTGAAGAATAAGTTGGTTCAGCTGGCCAACCAGATCGGGTGGAGCATTCCTAATTGAGAAGCCCACCGGGAAAAATTCCCACGTGTTTGGGAAAGGGTAACAAATTCAGTGTGCCTTGAAGCAGGGTATGAAGTGGGGAATGACCAGACGTGAGCCTGGTGTGGTAGACTGGTGAGGATCCTACAAGTTCTCGTAATTCAAGCTAAGGGAGGTGGCGTGTAAGGATTTTGCCCTAAGGCGTGACACATTAAATGCACTTCTTAGAATGATCTACTGGCTCTGAGGAAGCCAGTGGAAGATCAAATGTAAGACTCACACCTGAGGAATGGAGACCCCATAGAAGACTAGCATAGGAGTGAGAGCTAGACAGGAGGACAGAGTTGAGAAATATTTTAGAGACTGATTCAGTGACAGGTCATAGCGGCCAATTGTAAGATATAGGAGTTAAAGATGACTCTGATCCTCCCTCATTCATCAGACATCTCTTGTGTGCCTTCGCTGGGTGCTCTGCCAGCTACTGACAGAGGTTGGGGGAGTAATACGGTTGAATGCAGTATGGCCATTGCCTCAGAAGAGATTTTAGTTTAGTGAGAACACAGGAATAAAGTAATAGTAACTGTAGCTGTGATGTTCTATTCTCAAGAGGAGAACAGAGCACAGAGGGATGGAGAAAGAAGCTGCAGAGGAGGAGGAAGGAGGCAGCTCAGAGTCAGTGGAACTATTGAAAGTGAGGGAAGAGAGTTTGGGAAAGGGGTGGTCCATGGTGACAGGTGCTACTGAGAAAGTGGGCAGCAGGGCTGAAGTGTCCCCTGGAGGAGGCAATTAGGATGGCACTGATGATCTCAGAACAGCAGGGGGGTTGCCCACCAGGTGTGGCGGGATGTGGAGCAAAAAAGTGGTGAGGCTGCCGAGAAATGAATACAGTTCTCTCCTTCAGAGGCTGGTCAGGCAGCGAAGAAGAGATAAGCCAGTGAGAGACAGGATTCATAAAGTCGCAGGTTTTAAGATGGAAACCATTTGAGTGTTATTGTTATTATTGTTGTTTCCATCAGGACCAGCTGTGTAACTTGTGGAGCCCAGGGCACCATGAAAATTTGGGGTGTCTTGGCTACATTATTAAGAATTGTAAGACAGCATCAGCAGAGCAGGGAGCCAGTGTGGGGCTCTTCTAAGTGGGGGGCTCTGTATGACGCCCTGGTTGCATGCCAAGAACCAACCCTGATCCGCAGGGGAAGGAGCCCAGGGAGGAAGGAAGAAGTGGGATGCTTCAGTAGCAGAGCCGGTCCCAGAGCGACTGGGAAGGGAGGGACTCAGGGTCCAGATGGAGACAGAGCCCTGAGGAGGAGGAAAAATAAGGCTTTGGTTATCTCTTGAGATGCAGGAGATGGAGGATGGAGATGGAAGATGGCGAGGAGGGAGTGTTGGGGGAGGGGAGGACGTTGTGCTAGAGACCAGTTTCTGTACTGAATAAATCTGTAGGTAGAGGAAAGTGACAGAAGCTTTTGGCTGCAGAAGGGCAGCGGGGAGCCACACTGGGCAGTGCTGAGGAGCCTGGGGTGGGGGTAAGTGGGTCACTGAGATTGGTTCCACTGTCTGCAGGCATTGACAGATGGGGCGGGGGCAGGAACCTGCCCAGGACATGACTGATGGGAGAGGCCCAGGGGTCAGTGTGAAAAGGAGCCCTGCGGTGATGGGTTGGGATTCATTCTGGGACCCTGACGATGGGAAATGAGGTGGCCAGAAAGACTGAAGGGCTCTCTCAGTAAGCAGGGAGCTGGGGTTGAAAGTGGGAGGGTAGGAGGCCCCTGGCAAAGGAGTAGAATTTGGGGCTTTAGTATTCTGGCATTGAGCTGATGGTGAAGTTGCTGTGGGATCTTCCCCGAGGACTCCCTCAAAGAGTTCAGGAGCAAACGTAAGGAGAGCTAGATGTTCTGCTGGAATGAGTAGGAGTGTCCTGGATGATTGTAATTTTAAGACCAGGCCTAAGTGTTGCACATGTGATGGGAGAGTCCATGGAGAAGGAAGGTTGAAGGTGCAGTGAAGGGGCTGAAGGGGCGCCTGGCCGGCTCAGTGGGTGGAGCATGGGACTCTTTTTTTTTTTTTTTTTTTTTTACAAATAGTTTATTGTCAAATTAGTTTCCGCATAACACCCAGTGCTCATCCCCATGAGTGCCCTCCTCCATGCCCATCCCCTCTCCCCCCCACATCCATCAATCCTCAGTTTTTGTCAGCATTCAAGAGTCTCTCATGGTTTGCCTCTCTCCCTTTCCCCCACCATTTCCGCCCTTCTTCTCCCCCTTGTTCCTCCGTCAAGTTCCTCCTAATCCTCCTATACGTGCCAACATATGATATTTGTCCTTCTCTGCCTGACTTATTTCGCTCAGCATAACACCCTCAAGGTCCATCCATGTTGCTACACATGGCCAGATTTCATTGTTTCTCATTGCCATGTAGTATTCCATGGTATAGATAAACCACATCTTCTTGATTCATTCGTCTATTGATGGACACTTAGGCCCTTTCCATATTTTGGCTATTGTTGAGAGTGCTGCTATGAACGGAGCATGGGACTCTTGATCTTGGGGGTTGCAGTCTGGGCCCCACGCTGGGTGTAGAGATTACTTAAAAATCTTAAAAAAAAAAAAAAAGTAAAGGTGGCGGTGAAGGGGCTAAGTATGGGACAAGGACTTCTTTCTCCTTGAAACCAGAAGAAAAGGATTACGACGTTATAGAGCCGCCTTATGAAGACGCGGATGTGAAGAGCCATTGGCCATTAACCCGGTCATCTGTGTGAGGTGTGAGGAACCGCGAACTTGGCCACAGCCTGGGAATGGAGCAAACTGTTTCTTATTGGAAACGAAGGGGGTCGCCCGCGAGCAGCGAGGAGAGCGGTGGGAGGCCGAGAGGCGTCCCCAGGCTCCCGCGTGGCGGAGGCGGGCTGGCTGAAGCCCTTTCTTCCACGTCTCTCGGTTGCGAGCAGGTCACTAGCTCTCCACCTTCCCCCTGCAATTCCGTGACCTCATCCGAAGCGGTCCTCGCGGCCCCACAAGGTCCAGTTAGGGCATTCGAGGACCTAACTGGCCAAGAGGCTGCGGTGGTACAGAGGGTCAACTAGCACCCACCAGGTGGCCCCGGTGTCACGTCTGGCGCTGGGGTCCTGGAGCAGAGCCGCGCAGTCCCCCAGTCTTCGCTCCTAGCGCCCTCTGGGATTGTCTGTTAGGAGCTGCCTGGGTCCCCCAGCTCACCCTCCCCCTTCTAAGCTTCTTTCTTCCCAAGGGAAACCTCCCGGTAACCCTCGCCAGGTGGCTGCCACCCCGCCTGCTTGCCGGGGGCCAGCTCCCTCCCCTGCAGGTGCCCAGCTGGGGTGTTTCAAATCCAGGCAGCAGGAGCCCCGCACCGCCGCCCTCACCTGTAGGGGGTTAAGCCCTCTTCCCTAATAGGGAAGACCTGGAGCCCCGCAGAGTGCAGCTCCGCCGGTGCTCCCCCGGCCGAGGGACGCACGTGCAGCCGGCGACCCAAGCGGCGCCCGCGCTGCCGGAGTCAGCCCGCCGGGGATCCCCGCCCCGCCGCGCCTGCCAGCCCTCTTGGCGCAGGGCTGCGGGTGCCGCGCGAGCCGTTCTCCCTTTCCCTTTCCCGGCGGCAGGTCCCGCGGGTCGGGGCAGCGGGGCCGGGCGCAAGGGGACCGAGCAGGGGAGGAGCCGGAGAAGGAGGGGACAGAGGGGCCCGGCGGCCCCGCCCCCGCCCCGCCCCCCGCGGCCGGAGCCCGGGCTGCAGCCGGGCGCGCCGGAGCCTGTGAGCCCGCGAGCCAGCGATCGGCGGCCGCGGCCTCCCCTGCTCGCGGTGTGACCTCGGCGTCCCGGCCCGCGGCCCCGCCGATCCCGGCGCCCGCGCTTCTCGGGGCAGGGATGCATCATGGCCACGCTGGCTTGCCGGGTGCAGTTCTTGGACGACACGGACCCTTTCAACAGCACCAACTTCCCCGAGCCCAGCCGGCCGCCGCTGTTCACGTTTCGCGAGGACCTCGCTCTCGGCACCCAGCTGGCCGGGGTCCACCGGCTGCTGCGGGCGCCGCACAAGGTACGGCCGAAGGGTGCGGGTTGTGTTCCCCGGACGCGGCCCCTGCTGCGGGGCGCGCGGGGGTGGGGGCGCCGCGGGCAGGCTGGGGTCGGCGCGGCCGCCGGGCACAGGCGCCCAAGGGCAGACCTCCCCTCTCCCCGCTAGGCAGAGGGGCCCGGGGCATCCGCCGGCTGGCGCGGGATCTCCCGGGCGCGAGAGGACAGCCTTGCGCTCCGGCCCAGAGCCGGAGCGGGCGGGGCAGAGCAGGTGCCGCGCGGGCCCCAGGCGGGATGGAGAAGCTTCCTCCGCGCCGCGCCGTTAGCTCGGCTGGGTGGGCGGGGTGGGGCTCGGACGCTGGTGGTCCGCTCTGGTACCTGGGCCGGCGCCGATCTGGGAGCGGAAAGAAACCGGGCCCCGGGGGACTCCGGTCTAAACCTCTCAGGCCTCTGGGGCCGCTGCGGGCGGCCGCGCGCCCCTCGCGACAAAACACACTTCCTGGGGGCACCTCCTCCTCCTCCCCCGCGGGGTATCGCGGGGGACGCCGACTGCGCGCTGAGACAGCGCTCTGAGTAGCCCCCTTTTCTCAGAAGAAGCAGGTGGCCTTGGGAACATTGGAGAAGCAGTAGCTGTGGGAGGAGGGGCGGGGGCGCGGAGGGGCGGCGCGCGCACAAAGCCTGAGCCTCGCAGCCCGAAATGAGTGTCCCCTGGGAAGAATGGCTTCTCAGTCCACCCGATAGAGGCTTTTCTCTTCTTTTCTTCTTTTTCTTTTAACCCTTTGCAGGAGGACAGGCATCTTGCAAAGTGTGTGTTGCAGAGAGCTGGGCATTGAAAGCTAACCATTTGGTTACCCAAGAGAGCCCTACCTCCTACTTAAACGATTGCTACCTTGAAGAATTACTTACCGGCACCTTTTTTTTTTTTTTTGCTTACGGTTCATATCAAAGCCTGGAGATGATTTATTCATTGAGGATCAACATTGATAAATATTTAGAAGAGATAACCCTTGATGCCAAAAAGAACGAAATTGATTTTTCAAAATTCTTGAGATTTCTGTATGATGTTCACCTGCCTTGGAAGTAGAGAGGGAGATTGTATGTGGGAACTGGTGAACTTGGGCAGTGCTGTTAGTGTATCAGTGCTTTTCCTCGTTACTTAATTAGTAACCTGCTTTCAGGAATGAGGAATGGGGCAGTTCAATCTCATTCTCTCCGTGTTGATGCAGAATGGATAACAGTCACTGGGGGAACCTCTCTGGCCATAAAAGCAGGTTGGATTGGGAGATGGAGGGACAGAATGATGTATTGCGAATTCAGCTTATCGGAATCAATTTTGTGAATTATTTGGTTCTTCTTAATCAGTAGATTGAGTTAAAAGTTTTCAAAGAGCTTCTTTTGGCATCATGATATTCTATTCATTATGATCACTGATTACAGAGATCTTTTGTTGAAACCACAGAAGGCTCATAATTGTGGCCCTTTGACCTTGAAGTGGTTTTCTTGGATTTCAAACCCTATATACATAGGTTGACCTTTTAAGCTGGAAGCTGAAGTACTTTTTTATGTTTCTATAGAGTAGCCCCATAGTCCTGATCCAGTGTTCCTGGTTTGTTCTGGTAGGAGGAAATCCTAATGCTCCAACATTGGCCTCTCATCCCTCCCCCTCCCCCGCCCCGCCCCCAACTAGAAGCCACAGCACTGAAGTTGCACTGGCTCACAGAACTTTCTGAGGTATTGCCTCTAGAACAAAGAGAACCCGCAGATATATCCTGTAGAATCCCTTGACTCCTGGTCTTGGCGGCCAGCTATGCTTAGTCTCAGTGTTGGCCCTTGCAATATATTCAGATGTTTGACATTGTTTTTCATGTCTAGAGCTGAGTGATTGGCTGATTCTGTAGCCAGGGCTCTGCAGAGCAGAATTCAGTGTATTTATATGCCTAGGTGCACATTCCTGTTTAAAAATGCTCATTAATTTCCAGCAGAGAATCCTAAAATTGGATGATGGTCCCCCTGTGATAGAAAGAGCTAATGAGTTTTGATCACTTGGCATATAAGTGTGTGCTCAACCAGGGTTGTCTTGCACAGTCTCATTTACTATTACATACCTCTGTGAAGCGGATACTTTTATGATCCCTATTTTGCAGATGAGGAAACTAAGGCAGAGAGCAAGTAAGTAACCTAGTTTCTATGCTAGGACTAGAGAGCGGAAATCCAAACCGGGCCTGTGTGTCTCAGCTCCCAGTGCTGTTCTGCTTCCTGGACCAGCAGTTTGGCTGTGGGCAGAAGTAGCACTTCGTGGGGGTTCTGTTCCATTACCTTGGGGAGCTCACCAAGTCACCTTTGTGTGCCAGGTACTTTTTGGCCTGGGGCAAGTGAATGTTACAGGCATGAGTAAGAGCCTTGAAGCAGAATTCCTGGCCTGGTAGATTTCACAGTCAGAGGTGGGAACAAATAGTTACCATCCCTGCTGTGAATTAGCTGATGGCAAGTTAACTCCGAGCTGCAACTCCAGACCCCTGCCCAAGTAAGGCTTCAGGAAACACAAGGCATGCTTCTCTCAGGTCCCATTGAGCCTGGCCTTGGCAAGATGGGGGGGTTCCTTGTGGGAGGGCAATCTGTGTGATGGAAAGGATGGAGAAGCCTGACTGCGGAACACACAGACACCCTCAGTCTACCCAGCCAACCACACTTGCAACACCCTGAGGGGAGTAAACTACGTGACGTAGATGGTACACACAGAAAAGTGTGGAGGGCATAAGTGAGCAGCTGGATGGACGCTCGCTAAGTGAACACAGCTGTGTAATGGGCATCTAGGAGACCCTATGGAGGGTTCTAATTTGTACAGCACCCTCTAAGAGTCTCCTGTGCTGGGAACGTGTGAATTGGATAATCTCTCAGGCCCTTCCCAGCCCAAACTTGAGTCTGTGCCTCTTTGTCTAACTTAATGATCTATTAATTTAGCTCATGTCTGCTGACTCCTTTAGAGGTTAGCTGTTCACTTAACTAAACCATCGTCTGGGACAAAAAATGATATATTGTGCTTATTATGCTTTATCTTTGTTTTTTCCCCCCAAATCACTAGTCATTCCAGGGAAGAGAATTAAATTAATGATGAGTTTGATAACAAAAAGGTCACAACAGGTACTGTAGTCTTACCGGGGAGATGTTCGTTTTAGTGGGTATATGTCCGGTCTGGCCTAGGTTAGGCCTTTTGTTTTCAGATGTTGCTTAAGTAGGGGCTTTTTTTTAGTTCAGTGTTCTAAAGAATTATAATTTCAGGACTTCTAATTTATTTATTATTTTGGTAAAATATAGTTTATTGTCATGTTGGTTTCCATACAACATCCAGTGCTCATCCCCACAAGTGCCTTCTTCCATGTAGGACTTCTAATTTAGGAAAAAAATGTACAGCAGAATTAATAAATCGTAGGCCTTTCAAAATTTAAATGTTTTTTGGGTTGGTTGATTATGAAAGGCTACGGATTCTTGTTTGCTTTTGATAGACAAAGTGGAATTGTAGGATATTTTTATAAAATAAGCAAGTGATAACCAGCTTCCCTGATAAAATGGCAATTAAGACTTACTAATTTAGTTCAGGAAATATTTCGGTGCCTTCTGTGGACCAGACACAGTGGAGTGATAATAGTGACCCTGTTCTAGGCGCTTACCCGAGGCAAGGACCATTCTAGATATGCATCGTTTCGCCAAGGCCACGGATCAGGTCTAGTACTGCTGCATTCCGTGGCAGAAGAGACCCAGAACCGAAGGGATCCACCTGGTCACACAAGTGGGACGTTCCGGAGTTGGCACTCAACACCAGGCCTCCGCTCGTACTGACTTCCCTTTTGTGTGTTGGATGTCTTCCTTCCAGGCAGCCTGTCCGTTTTCCAGAGCTCCATCTCTTGACACTATTGTGTTCACTTTTTTCTCACGACCTCTGTCTCTGTGGCCTCCTCGCTGTCTCAGCTATTCCTCCTGCAAAACCACGGATTGAAGTGGGAATGAGAGCGTTGGTCCTTCAGGTGTGGGCCGGGCATCACCTAGACTCCTCTTAGAAAGTTGCCGTCAGCCTCCCCAGACCTGTTGAATCAGATGTGTATTTTTTCCAACATGTTCTGGTGATTCCTGTTCACCCTACAGTCTGAGCAGCATGGATTAGAGGTCATTTAGGTCAGGCTCTCAGTATGTGGGGCTCCTCCCGTGTCCCCTGTTGCAGATCAGTTCTTCGAGGGAGAAGACCTGGCTGTCTAGTTCTCCCACGTTGTTCTTGAAGCTGAGCAGTGCTACGGTGGAGCGTGCACTAAGTTGATTGACCGGTGTTAGTTATAGAACACAAATCCACTGGTATTATTGCTGCAATGAATTTCCACCTTAATCCTCTTAACGGACACATCTGTTTGCTACATTACATTAAGATTTTTAGAAGATGAGATCATTAGTAAAGTTGGCAAGTGCGTTGTGGCACAGAGCATCTTAGGACAGAACTGTTTAAGACTGTTGTATGAAGTGCTAAGAGCATCTCTGTGCAAGTCGAGCTGAATCTGACTCTACCGTAATTAGCTCAGTTGGTTGGAGCCACGCTATTGAGATCAGGATCATGGGATTGAACTCTTTATGGGTCAGTTGGCTTTGCTTCATGCATGGCCACAGACGTCATCGGTAACCCAGCCAGATGCCCTGCAGGTGCTGTCATGGCTTCCTGCAAGGATGTGTGTGGAAGGGACTGGCAGAAATCTTGAGGTGGGGGGAGGAAGCTAACATATAATGGGAATGTGCTGGGCACTACACTGTAGGCCTTCATGAATAACTTCATTTATCCTCCTAACAGCTCTAGCCGATGGACAATGGTATCCCCAAGGAACAGGTGGGGAAACTGAGGCACAGGGAGCTGAAGCAGGTTATCTAAGGTCACACTGCTGCTAAGTGAAAGAGCTGAGGTTTTTTTTTTTTTTTTTTTTTTTTTTTTACTCCAAAGCCTGTAGCCAACTGTGTCCCATTATTAGAAAGCCAGCAGCAGAGCACACG